GCAATTGGATAGACTAAATCACTACAAGAAAAAGGCCCTTTAACGACGCGCAAACCACGACACTCATTAATTTATGTTACGCAAAAGAGAGTGACATTAAAAAAGTGACATCTCTTCAAAAAATTTAAGGATTTAGGTCATGCATTATTGCGCGCCCTTAAATTAGTATCATAAGAAAAAAAAATTAAAAACACGGAGGGCTCTGTATCTTAAGTGCGCGCCCTCTATAAGTGTCGCTTTATAATTGTAATGAAACGCGCGTTTAGGAAGTAGACAGGGGGAAACAAAATCCCGAAAATTTTGAAAACCCGCCTTCTACCTTCTTTCTATCTTTCATCTTCCCAATCGACTCTCCCCTCTCCCTCCTTCTCTCTCCTCTTCGATCCACTTATCCGCTACTCCTGACCTCCTTCTTATCGGTCTCATACAGCATCTCGTTCCTCACCTTTTCCGTTGACCACAGGTACTTCTCCAGCGGCCAAGCTTCCACCCTATTATTTTCATCTTCAAATCGATTGTAGTATCTCATTTCTGCTTATCATGTACCTTCGACCCTCTTCTCTCCATCTTTGATTATCACAACAATTGTCTCTTTATAGCAAAACGGATTTCCATCAGATAAGCACCTCAATTTTCCATCTTTTTATTGGCAACTCAGGCTTAAAATTTTCTTTTTCACTGTCTCACCTCAATGAAGATCGATTTCATGCCTTAAATATTGCAGACAACTGATCCGGTGAAGTTAACTATAGACAAAGGTTGATTGGGGAGTAATGAAGGTGGGAGGCTGAGTCGACCGCCTGATCCCTTTGAACCACCCCCGTCTGATCATCTTCAAATTTTCATTATAAAAATCGGCGATGGGAATTTTTAGGGTTTTTAAGCAGAGTGACAATTACGATTCTGAAGCATTGAAGCTTTTTTTTTATTGAGGGCACGTTAAAATTAGGAGAGAGTTCGAGAGTGGGTTTCGATTTGCCCACCGTCAGATAACCACTTCCACCTTCAACACCAGAACAGCACCATCATCTTCTAAGGATTTGGAAGTTTGGTTGTTGTCGCTGAATCAAGTTTCAACTTTTTTTGTTCCATAAATCAAGGTATGGTTCCCAATCCTGAAGAGGTACCTATATTTTCTTCAATGGATACCAATCACAAAACGAAACCCTATCTAATTTTCTTAATTCGACAACTTTTGTGAAAGGAATTATTACTTTGGTGTTCTACATCATGAATTTAAGGTCTATGCATCTTAGGAAAGTTTAATTATTGATTGAGTATGTAAATTTAATTCGTATTTTGTAGAAAATAGGTATTGTGTTCCCCTTCACCACATAGGAAGATATGGATAACTTGTGGCTATTGGAATTAATTTTTTTTTTCTAAATAGCTGTTTTGAAGACTAGATGCGATGTTAATTTTTACATCCAAGGACAAATTTTATGACTTTCTTTTATCAAGGAAGGTCAGCAGGTCCAAGGAGATCCTGGGCTATTCTCAAATCCACCTCCACTGATCCATTCTCAAAAGTAGCAATAATGGTATTTGATTTAGCTTTTTGATTTTGATTTATCATATGAATAAAGGTACACTAACAAGGGTAACTTTTGTTTTCATCATAGGTTTCTGGATGTTGGATCTTGCTAATAACACCGTTCATGTAACAATTTATAAAAAGATCATTTTTTTAAAAAAAAAACTTGTGTTTTAAACCATTATTTTAAATTCAAGTAACAATTTTAATAATTTCAGGGCCCCACTCGTGCTCTCCTGGCTGATTTAGCAGGTATGTGCCAAGTTTTCTGAATTCCTCAATCTTAATTTTGATCAAAACCCTAAACCCAAATCTGTTAATAGTTTCACCTTATGATGTTTATGTTATGTCTCTAGCAATGCTAATTATAATATTTATTCATTTATTTGATAGGCCCTGATTTTTTACAAATTTGCCCTTACTTGTTAAATATAATGTTTGTAACAGGGAGTCCTAGACCTGGATGAGGCGATTTCTCCAAAGTGTGGACTTCTTTGTCCTTGTTGGACTGTAATACTTCAGGTAAATGATAAATAATTAATAAGTATTTAAAATATTTTCTTCTTGTGGTCTTTTATTTTGATTTTATGGGATCTGATTATAAAATTGTTACAGGGTGGATACGAAGTTTTGTAGCAAATTACTAGATATGCATATCATCGTTAGTAGATTACATACTAATTATTAAAGAGGTGTGATTACTGATTAATAAATAAATATTTCCAGGATTTGGTGCTGCAATTGCATGGATGCTAATGGGTGCATTGATCTTGGTGGCCTTTTAAGGGTTACAGCAGGTTATGGAACAAAAGGTATGCTACTTTTTGTTATGATACTTGTAGTTGTTTAATGGCTTTTGTTATATTAAAACTTAGGGGTTGTTTCTGTTTGACTTAATATGGACAAAATGGCCTCATGTGTTAAGCCAAATTAATGTATTAAGACACCAACCCCTTTAACCTTCTTTTTTCCACCCTCACATGTGAAATTTGTTTTTTCGTATGTAAGGGTAAAACAGAAAAGAAATAGACTTTACGTATCCTAACATACATCATCATCCATTCAGTTTGATGATTTTTATTATAGTTATTTAGATTCCAATGTTGTTTTTATGATTTGAAAAGTCAATTGTCATCAGTATCGCTCTCTGTTGGATCGGATGGACAACTGGATATCATCAAGGAGTGGCAGATTGAGGAAAGGCAGCTGAGATTTGCATCAATGGTCTGAAACAGTTGATCTAATATATCCAAAATTTCATTAACAACAAATTATAATTAAAAATAATATATGTGGCCCCTGAGCTTTCGATTTTGATCTTTGCTTGTGGTTCTTACTGTTCCAAGTAAATGAGTATCTTTGGCCCCTGAAACCGTTTTTTTTCTTAGAGTAAATTACATTTTTGGTTCCTGAGCTTTCGGTTTTGGTCTTTGCTTGTGGTGCTTACTGTTCCAACTAAATGACTATCTTTGGCCCCTGTGAGTAGCTGGATTTTGTATATTTGGTCCTAGAAAGTCATTTTACTTGAAACATGTATGGACCAAAATTCTAATAGAACTTTTTGGGAATTAAAAAAAATCAGCTACATGCTGAGACAAAAAAAAAATGCAATTTACTCTTTTAGTTAATAAACTAGGTTAAAACCCGTGGAATCCACGGGTGTTGATTTTTAATTGAATTTAAAAATTAATTATTTAATAAAATAATATTTAAGTAATTTTTATAACATATGAATTGTAATATTGCATTTTTCAATAATTATTTGATTTGTAAGTATTTAATTACAAACTAAATGGTAAGTATTTAATTAGAAATGGAGATTTTTGAAAACCCTTATTTTTTGTGCATGATTCTTGTTGGACATACGCATATGATGCATTACCAATGTGTGTAATGAAATTAACATAAAAAAAAACAATACATAATTATAAATAAATAAAGTTATATGATGGATTAAGTATGATTTGCTAAAAATAATAAAATATGCTACAAAAAAGTTGGCTACAAATTAGATTAGAAAACTTATGAATTGTGATAATGCATATTTTAATAACTTTATGATTTGTACGTGTTTAATTAAACAGTAAATGGTAAATATTTAATTACAAGTGGAGATTTTTAACTTGATTTTTGTTGTATGATTCTTGTTAAACATACCGAGATGATGTCTTACCTATGTGTGGTAATGAAATTAACATAAAATATACAATATGTAATTATAAATAAATAAAGTAATATGATGGATTAAGTATGTTTTGCTAAAAATGACTAAAAGATGCTACAAAAAAGTTGGTTATAAATTTTGAAAAATTTCCTTATAAAGAACATTGGAAGTTTTATATGTGAGTCTGCCATCTTTATCTAATTAATAATTTTAATCCCTCTGTGCTTTCAACTCAAGATAAGGCAACATACAATTGCCCATGTTAAAAAATTGGATCTTTGAGAAACAAACCAATCTTTAGTACATGTTATTGTTGTTTTCTGCATAAACGATAATAGTATAGGCTATAAAAAGTATAAGGAGGTAAAAAATATGTTTTTTTATAATAAAATTGAAGAAATAAACATACCTTTGTAAGCATCAGGAACCAGTGTCGAGCAATATTTATTTGCAGTAGATGGAAAGTTTGTTGAAGTCTCAACAGTTTTAGTTGTTGCAGATAGACACGTTGATGTAGTATCCAATTTAATATTGTTTGTATTATCTAAGAGGAAACTATTTAATTTTCTAGTTTTTTTAGAAGAAATTGAATAGTTTTTTTTAGAAAATTAAATAGTTTCCTCTTAGATAATACAAACAATATTAAATTGGATACTACATTATAACTCGATTTAGTTAATAAAACAACATGCCTAAAATTACAGAATAAGTAATTCATATATAATATTTATATGTTGAACAAAGGGGTATAATATATTTTTTTGACATATTGACAATTATGATTAAATTACAAAGAAATAACATATAAACCTACAATTTGGTAGTATATAATATATAACTGTATACTTTTATTAAACTTTATAATATCGCACAATAGTTTCACATATATCCATGTTCTTATTTTTTATACAATAATATAATATTTCAAAAAAGTATACATATTAAATAATAAAAAATATATTGTTTAGGTATATGTAAGTTACGTTTAAAAGTTTATAATGAAATATGTTGAAAATAGTGATATATAAAAGTAAATATATTATTGAAATATTGTTATTACATCATATAAAGATTGTAATTAACAATTATGTAAGAATCTTATTTATATTCCATTAACCATAATATTAGATTTTAGAAAAGAAATATTATTCTAATAGTAAGCATTTACATGTGAAAGCACATGTAAAACAACATAAAATTAAAGTTGTAAAAATTGATATGTTAGAAAACATATAAAACAAAGTAAAAAATGAATTTGTAATCTAATTACAAAGGAGGGGCTGAAATGGTGTAAAAGAATCAATGAGATTTGAGGTTAATTTGTCAATAATTTCCATAGGGGACTGTCTTGGTCAAATTCATAAAGTGGAGTGGCTAAATTGGTCGATTAGACCAAAAATTGAAATTAGGGAAAAGGGGTCAGGTCTCCGTTTTCTTCAATTTGAGAAAAAGAAACAACCGATCGAAGAAAGGGATCTAATGGTGTTCGATCGGGAAAAGAAGCAGGGGGAGGATCTCTGGGGTTTCGCTGGACCGAAGGAAAAAGAAGAAAAGAAGCAGGAAGTTGCTATCGATTCTTGGTGGGTGAAGGTTTGAAAAGTTGAGGACCTCCGATGTTCGAATGGTTCGCAGAAAAGTGAAGAATCAGCGAGCCTACTTCTTTTCTGCTCTTAAAGTAATATGCGAATGAGGATTGGGGAAGGTGGGCGGAGAGAGAGAGAGAGAGAGAGAGAGAGAGAGGGGGGGAAAGGTCTTTGGTCCTCAGTTGGTCCGAGAAAAAGAATTATGATTGAAGGTAGGAAGTGGGTCGGTCTTCTGTTCATATACACGAATTGATTGGCATTTGAGCTTGTAATCTATGTAATTGTACAAGTATCGATGAGAATTGAGGAAATTAGGGTTCCTTTATATTTTCTTAGCTAGCAGAGTTTCGTTGTACTTGTAGTAATTGTGCAGGAGGTCTTTTGATGTATTTCGTTGTTGGTTATCTTAGTCATATCTGATACATAATTACACTTTGGTGACCTAAGTTTTAGATGCCTAATCCATGTGTTCGATATGCTCGGTGAACAACAATTAGTTGATCATTCTCCTAACGTGTTTTATAAAAATAACGCTTAGATTGCATTACGGAATTGATGAATATGCTGTGCAGGTAGAACTTGCTAGTCTTGATTGGCTTTATGGGTGCTCCTAAGCAGAAATGGACATTTGAAGAAGAAGCAGCTCTAAAAGCTGGAGTTCTTAAGCATGGAGCAGGAAAATGGTGCACAATTCTTAAAGATCCAAAGTTTAGAAGTGTGTTATACCTGCGCTCTAATGTGGATATTAAGGTTTACATCTTTTCAAATGGAATTTTCTGCTGGAGGTTATTACATATCTGAAATTTTCTTTTAATCGTTGGTTCATTGACTTGGATCAGGACAAATGGAGGAACATGAGTGTAATGGAAAATGGATGGGGATCTAAGGAGAAGGCTAGGTTAGCCCTGAAAAGAGTGCAACATGTCCCTAAGGATGACAACCTTCTCTCACTCACAACTGCTGATCCCAGTGATGAAGACTCGGGTGATGTGAGGCCTCTTCAGTCTTCTAGTGGTTCTCCACAAGTTGGTGCTTCAAAAAGATCTATGATAAGGTTAGGCCCTATTTCTTTGTTCTTTTTCACACTAACTGTTGTATGGATAAATGATGATGAATTGTTGTATGGATAAAGTGATGTGTGAACAAATACTATTTCTTTGTTACATTGAATAAACCTTCTGAACGACAGTAAATGATGATTGTACCCTTTGTCTGGAACTAATGTTGACATCAACTGACAAATAGCTACAAATATCCCACATACATTGAGGTATATGTGTTACCAGAATGGCAGATTGATTATATAATGTGCTATTTATTATACATTAGGGATATCTCTTATGAATCATGGTTATTTAGTCTCTAGGAAGATGATGTTATCAATAGTTATAGTGTATGACCATTTTACCTTTTGTGTCATTAACAGGCTGGACAATCTTATAATGAAGGCAATAAACAACTTGAAGGAGCATGGTGGCTCTAATAAGACTACCATTGGCACATACATAGAGGTATCTGTGTTATATTGTGTTTTTTTAGCTTTTAACTTTCAGTTTCTTTTTAATCAGCATGTTTAATAATAGATAATGGGAATATATAGTTTAATTGATTAGTTTATTACAAAATTATACTTTAAATTATTCGTAAAAGATACATATAAAGACACATCGATTAAAACAACAATGGATGAAAGAGGAAGATGAATACATCTTACAGTACTTTCATGCATATGTTAAATAGACATACGTAAAAGTAAATCCAATATGCATCCAATTTAATAAAGAGAAAAAGCAGGAGAATGGAGAGTAAAGAAACCCCAAAAGATGGTATAAAAAGAGATAGAGAGAAGTCGTATATACAGATAGATTACATATTAAAGAAAACTAACCTTAAACCTTATTAACAAGGATTGAATGAAAATGATCGAGTTAAATGGATCTGAAATGATTAATCTAAGATTGGATGTAGAGAGGTGTAGGAAAACAATGAATGAATGTAATAGTCAATTATATAGCGAGATTATGAGAAAATTAACTTTTGCAAAGTAGCTCATAAGCAGAATCGTGGATACCAAAGCATGTAGATCTTATAGTCATTTATATGGGTATGCATTTATTTCCAGCAGATTTTTTGTGATATACTTACCTGATAGCTCGATAATTTTAAGAATGCTGAAAAGAAGGAATATATTAGATGGATAATAGTAGTATTTTGAAAAGATAATTTTAAGAATGCAGATTTTTTGGGATTTAATCACGGGAAATTATTTAATTTCCAATCACAATAAAAAAAACTTCCATATAAATCGGGTATTTTGAATTTCAAATTTGAATAACCGATTTTTGTATATTATTTGCAAATATTTTATTCATTTTAAAATTTTGATTGCATTTTTTGACTGCAGTTTTTTCCGGATTAATTGCCTCTATTTGAAGTGAAGGGCATTTACGTAAATGGACCTGAAGAAAAGAAGCGGGAAAACTATATTTTGGGGGTCTGGGAGACTGACACGTGGCACTATTCTACTTATTTATTAGGATAGGGGATTCCAAGCAAGCATACACTTGTTGATGTAATAATTATTGTTGCATTTGTAATTTTGCATTACAGGTATATTTGGGTGAGCAGTATGTGAACAACCCTACACTTTCTGATGTAACTTTAATGATTGAAGGTACACATATGATATATGATATATGATATGTTTTTTAAAAAAGTAAAAATTAAGTAATGGATGTGGTTGGCAGTTTATTTATTTGGTATGATATCAGGCAAAAGGTTTTATGCTCACATAATCTGCTTGCTTGCTTCTTCTGATGCGTTTCAGGCAATGTTTGATGGTGGTTATAGGGTTAGTATCAAATTAGAAACATATAGTAGGTGCATTTACTAGAAACATATGTGTTTATAAATGATGATGATGAATGTGGCAGTTTGGTTGCATTCTAGGAGAGAGATGCAAAAGATATTGGGAGACATTTGAGAAAATGATTAGGTGCATTTACACTGGATCAGTGGAAGTGGATTTAAGAATAGCCCAGGATCTCCTTAGAGCTGCCGACCAATATCTTCTAGATGGTGTTAGTGAACAAAAACTTTTTAGGACCAAAATTTCAAAAATAAACTATACTCAAGAGACCTAAAATGCAATTCACTCTAAGTTCAAAGATATTAGAATTAGTTTTAAGTATGATTTTCGTTAATCAGGTGATAGATTTTCAAGACGTTTCATTGCAGCCATTGTAAGTGTGTACGTGTGTAATGTCATAGTTTTAAGTATGATTTTCGTTAATCAGGTGATGGAAAAAGTACATCCAGGTACTAGTAAGTGTGTAATGTCTTATGTAATCGGAGTTCACAGCCTTAAGGCAATCAGCCTTAAGACACACGATTGAGAATGAATGGATTATTTGATGAAGAGAAACGTGCCATTCAATTCACCTAAAACTTCATTGCTTTGTACAAAATCGGACCTGCATGTGGTGGTGGTATCAGGTCTATCTGAATCATTGATTTTCATAAAAATAAAATAGAAAATCACCATGTGTGTACTTGGGGATATAAAAGGAAATAAATAAACAAGGGCACATTTGTAAAAAGTTAATACTTATATTAATACTCTCTCTTGTCTCTGCTTGGCTTACAATCTTGTATTTTGAAATGCAGCAAGGGACACAAGAAAGAGATCATTCTTCAGAAAGGATCGGTATGTTCTCATGAAAGGTATGGAATTGTAGAAGGGTGAATCTAAGGGTGCATAGTCTAGTGAAGAAAGCACATCTTGGCCTTGTTACAGCCCTAGCCTTCTCACAGGATTCAAGGTTCCCTCTCTTTCTTTCTTTATAAATTCTTTAATTTAGACTTCATACCTTTGACCTTTCCATACCCGTATTTTTTTTTTATATAAGAAAGCTTGTTGTTTTTTTGTAATACAGAGCCCTGGTGTTTGCATCTCTTGATTCAAGTGCAAGGGTCACACAAATCAAAGAAACCAAAAACAATGGTATATCACTTTTTCTCTCCTCACTCACATCATCATATAAACACGTGTACTTTCTATTGGATTTTTGTAGCTTGCTTCAAGTGTTACAAAAGAGAAAACAAACACTGATAAGAACATGTCAACCATGTTTGATGTGTTGAGAAGGAACAGAACTGTAAAGCTTGAAACTTTAGTCCTGAAATGTAAACCCTGGTAACTTCCCAATTCATACTTATATATATTTTCTATGTACCATTTCTTGTTGTTTTCCTCCTTGACCAGGTAATATCATTAATTTGTTTCTTTCTACTTAGTATTTCTTACTGGTTGTGAACAAGCCTCTCATCTCACATTTGAGTTCATAGGAATAAACAATCACTGTGAAACTTCTAGTGTTTAGATTTCTTAGTGGTTGTGAACATTTGTTTCTTCCCTTTCTACCCTTCACTTGTAGGTTGATGATTTGTCAAGAATGTTCAGACTATTTTCCAAAAATACCCCATGGATTGGATCCTGTCTATAGTATGTTTAAATAGGTTTGTGATTTAGGAGTTGGATTCTATTTTTTTTTAAAAGTAGAATGTAGTTATTTGTATTTGTTGTCATCTGTTTTATCTTTTTGACGCAATCCAGCATGTTGCTGCTGAAGGAACAACCTTGGTCAAATAGTCAAAAGATGTTGCAAGTAATAAGAAGGTAGAAAAGAGATTGCAGGTTGATCCTGCTACATGGCCAATAATGATCTTTAGGGTCTGCTAGAAGGATTGGAGATTGTAGTTAAGCTACTATCTAAGACTTCATGCCAAGGACTTGATGAATTTAAGCTAGCAATGTTTTACTTGATTTGGACATGAACCCTAAGATATCATATTTTGGCATGGCTAGAAGCTTTAGAGGAAACGAGACTCAAGCAAAAGTAAACACACAGAGAGTTGTTGGCACATAGTAAGCTAGATAATGCAATTGTATATAAATGAGTTCATTTTTTTATAACATTTACTCACTATTGGAATAATTATTTGCATTTGACATATTAGTGAAATGAATTATCTTTGTTATTTATGGTATTTTATTTTGATTTATGAGATTTTTAATGCATTATTTAATTTGAAAATTAGTAAATCTATAAATAATTTTTTTTAAACATTTAAAATTATGATACGCAAAAATGTGTGTCATCTTCATTTATGACATGGCCTTTCTTGACAGGGGCTTTCTTGATACGCATTGCGTGTCATTAACACACGCATCGTAAGGTTACGACACGCGAATGCGTGTTGTCTTTCTTTATAACAGGGCCTTCCTTGATACGCATTGCATGTTGTAAACGCGTATCGTAATTGCGCATCGTAAATGCGCGTCGTCTCTCTTTATGATAGGGCCTTCCTTGACGCGCATTTGTGTGTCGTCTGAGCCTTTTACGACGCGCAATGAGCGTCGTAAAAGGCTGTTTTTCTAGTAGTGAATGAGAGAAATAACACTTGTGGTTTATTAATATATTATAAGTTCTAATATATTAATAATATTATTTAATTAGTTTGATCAAGAATTAATTTAGAATTAATTAAGTGATCAAAAGATAACTAATTAAATATATGGGTTGATTATTTAAATCATCCATTACTTGTATAGTGGGCTAAGAGGGTCCATGGATTATCAAGTTGGGTTCCACCCATAGGATGCTCCATGGATGCTCCATGGGATTTACAAACCCATGGGTCATGGAAATGAAGAGTCATGACACATTAGAGTTTACATGGTGTAACCCTAGATGTGTCAACATTATATAAAGAACATATTCTCCACCCAAATCGGCTACATATAAGAAACAAGAGGGCTAGGCCGATTTTAGAAGTGTGTATTCTCTCTAAAGTCATTCCAAAAGCATTTGGTGTTGTCTGAAGCATTTGAGGCATCACACTTGGGGTGCTAGGCTCACAAGGTTTCAAGGATCATAAGCAACAACAAGGTATGTTATTCTATCTTTCATTCAAGTTAAAAATTGTTCCCCATGTATGCTAGATATGAATATAACCTTGGAATTCAACTTTGCATGATTATTAGACAAACATAGATCCAAGGTTATTAGGGTTGCATGTAAACTTAGGAAGTGTTAGAATGCTCAAATCCCATCATGGACTCCTACAAGTCGGTGGGATATAGTTGAATAATCTTTTAGTCCATGTGGCACAGGTCATGAGTAACTGGTTTTATGGTTTACAAAAACTATGTGCTTGTAGAATTTAACTTAACACTTAAGGTCACATGCAAACTAAATGATCTATCTCATACACTTTTAATGAAACATACTATGAACGAAAAAACTAGGTTAACCCTAACATAATCAAAATACAATACAAGAACAAGGGTTCCATACCTTTGATTTTCTGTAGTAACTAAATCACTTCAATCCTTCCTTCGAAGAGCTTGGAAAGCTAGCACCAAAAGTATAATGCGTATAATGGATCACAACCAAACCCTAGAACTAGAAGACAATCTAGGCTATAGGAGGAAGGTATAAATTTCATTCATAACCCTTCGGAAGTGAGAACCACAAATTCATGTGCCCCAAGGGTCATGTTTAAAGTTTAGGTAACTTAGAGACAAAGCAAGATTTGAATAATTACACAATAGATTTAATAGGATTAAAATCATTTCCTTATCTACTACTAGGAGGCTTCTGGAAATCATAAAAGAGCTCCCAAAATCATCCATATGATGGTAGGCTTTAGAATTGCATTTCCTTGCTTAATTATGAACAATTACAATTCAACCGTTGCGCCTTTAATTAACTTCAATTAATCCCAAATTAATTCCATATTAATTCTGATTAATAATTAATCAATCCGAATTAATTTCATATTTATTTATTAATCATATAAATTAACAAATAAAATATTTAACAATTGAACTGATATTAATATTTTAATCACACATAATAAATTCACAAATCAGCTATCTATTTCCAATTAATATGTTAATCATATAATATATTAACAAATCATTTCCTCATAATTTCAAAATAGTTTATTAATCATATAATAATCTAATAAATCATTCTCTCTCTACAAATGTCAATCTAATATAGTTTTAGTTATGAGGTTAACCCAAAAAGGATTTTGCTTCTACTTACAAGAGTATATCAATTTAATTATGACCTTAGACACCATAATCAAACAGTCTCCCACTTGGATAAATCTCTAACTACAATCTCTAGTATAACCTTGAACCAAATAACAAAGTGTGTTTTCCAAAGCCACTGTCAAACTCTAATTCAAATCAACATTCTCCCTAAGATAAGTGATCAACTATTCCATCGTTCTACAAGATATCGTATGAACCGAGTCATTGATTACGTAATCAACATCATTTTCATTTGTTTGTTTCTTAATTTCTCGATTTGTGATCAAATTCTAACAACAAAATCAAACTCGTGAATTCAGTCCAGAGCAGGTGCCTGGTTTTTATAGATTAACTCAAATCACTGAGGACCCCAAACATATTTCTTTTCCTATTAAGGCAAAAGGATCTCATAAACTTTAACTATATAATCATTCATTTTACTCATCAACTCATGCATGCAATTACACATTACATCACCTAGTTATGAGATACGTTAGAATAAACCAATGCACAACTAATTTGCAACATATATATATATATATATATATATATATATATATATATATATATATATATATATATATATATTCAGGTTCATTTGAGACCATTCTAATTTTGTAAGACCGTGAGACCAAATCTAAAAATAATTTTAAAATGCAAAATATATGGAAAAATCCATAAATTCTTTTTTTAAATATTATTTTTGGAACTTGAATTAACTAAAAAAAAATAAAAATAATAAAAATAATCTCGTTTTTTTTTTTTTTTGAAAAATACGTAAAATATTTTAATAGAATATTACACTGACATATTCTAAAAACTAATTTTAAAATGAAAAATAAATGTAAAAATCTAAAAATTCTTTTTTTAAATATTATTTTCGGAACTTGAATTAACTAAAAAAAATAAAATATATATATAAAAAATTATAAACAAATCCTGTTTTTTTTAAAATACATGAAATATTCTAATAGAATATTACACTGTGCATATTTTAAAAAATAATTTTAAAATGAAAAATAAATGGAAAAATCCAAAAATTCTTTTTTTAAATATTATTTTCGGAACTTGAATTAACTAAAAAAAATTAAAAAAATAAAATAAATAAAAAAAAATAAAAAAAATGTGTCTCACGATCTCACAAAATTAGGTCGTCTCACATGAACCTAATCCTATATATATATATATATATATATATATATATATATATATATATATATATATATATATATATATATATATATATATATAAAGAATAGAAGATATTATTGTCTTGCAATTACTTGAGATTGAATCCATGAATTAATCTATAAGTGTGGGTTTATCCAAAACATAAAATCCTTGTTTTCAGGGTACTCATGAATATTGCAACAGTCATAGGTGATCGATCTTATATCCAAAGCATATGGGACTTGACTCATTATTATAAGGGTCTAATATGTTTTCATGTCTTTCTTTAATATTTCCATATATGGAACCTCCTGTGTTTAAACATTTCAACATGTTATTCATATATGTCTTTGATTAAGTTATATTAAACCATTTAACCTAAAACTTTAGATTCAAAATGAAGAATGATTACCCTCTCCCTTAAGTTCACTATAGCAAAACAATTCCTGAACTTTGCAATTTGCAAAAAA